TGCGTTCGCTGCTGCTGCTGCTGCTGCTGCGGCTGCGTTTGCTGCTGCTGCTGCTGCTGCTGCTGAGCATGAAGTTAGCAGCAACAAGCTGCGGTGCTGCTGTCTGTCTGCAGAGGCGATGGAGGGCCCCTCATCAATACTAGCGGACGACGAAGACGATCTCCTCTTCTAAGCCCCAGCAACCAAACACTGCAGCAGCAGCAGCAGCAGCAGCAGCAGCAGCAGCAGCAGCTGCAGCAGCAGCAGCAGCAGGAGCTTTTGTATGCAAGGATGAGAAGAATAAAAAGATCATATGCAGAGGGGATTAAAAGGGAGACAGAGAAAAGGAGACAAACAATAGGAGCAAGGAGACGCAGAGAAAAGAAAACTAGCAACAGAGACAAGGCAGCGGCAATGGCTGTGCTGGCTCGCTGCTCTGTTTTCTCGGTGCCGAGCCAGCACAGCCAGACAGAGACAAAGACAACGCAAGATAAAGAAACACAGAGACAGAGGGGAGTAGCATAGACAGAAAGAGATAGAAGTAGACAGAGAAGAGGAGAAACTGAGACACAGAGAAACCACCTGATCCCCTTACAGACCACAGGAGACAGCTAACACCGCCAAACCCTAAACCCTAAACCCTAAACCCTAGTAAGGCACTTGCCTATGGCCATCGATGCCTGCTCGAGAGCCTCTTGTTGAGCTTCCTTGGCCGTCTTCTTCTTGAGTTTTCTTCAGTCTGCAGCACACAAACCCTAAACCCTAAACCCTAAACCCTCACGAAAGGCAAGGAACCCGCAGGGGTCGATGTGAGGGGGCGAGGGAACAGAGTGTAAACCCTAAACCCTAATTACTATCTCCACGAATAAGCCTTGCTACGTGGGTCTTTAGGGTTTAGAGCCTAGGGTTTAGGGTCTTTTAATATACTAACAATATTTAAGTATATGTTTGTAAACCCTAAACCCTTAGATAAGTATTAAATATATCTCTGCAACACATAGCTGAAGAACTCCTCGTTATGTACGTTATGCTCTTATCCAGCTTGGGGAGCACCACCTGCGACCCAAACCCTAAACCCTAAACCCTAAAACCCTAAACCCTAATACCAGTCCCTTGGGGCCAAACCACTACTACCACTCATCAGCCGCTCACTCTTCAAAAGACTCCGCAAACCACCCAACTCCGTCGCGGAGAAAACCTAAACCCTAAACCCTAAACCCTTATCAAAGCGAAGTGCTGAGTATACCGCTAAACAATATAAGATGTCCCCGGTTCTTCTCATTGGGGGGCTTGAAGCCGAGGCGTACGCACCAACAGCCATCATTTTTCTTCATCTTCACCGCCAACACCACCAACACCAGATTGCCCCCAAAGGCTCTAGCTGACGGCTGAGCTTTGCCTTTTCTTAGAAGTTTATCCTCCTGCGGCTCAATCTCCTCTTCAAGATATAGCCGTTGCCCGTACCTTGGAGCGAAGCTTGGAGCTGCGCAGGGGATGCGTTCGGTGGTGCTGTGCACCCAGCGGCCAGCGGATACCCTGCCCGCCTGCAGCTCATACACCTGCTCATACACCTGAGAACTTTTCTTTGCCCGCTGCTGCTGTTCCTCGGGTGTTAAGTGGATCGAATTCACCAACACTGAGGTCTTTATCAGACAGACCTTCATGACAGAGCAGATGCATATCTCCGCCGCCCCCTTCAGTGCCACTGCACTGCACGGGGGCCTGGGCGCTCCGCTTTCTATGGGACCCAGTTTCTCCTCCTCTGAGCATAGAAAATGAAATACCGTTGGGGGCGCTGGGGGACGCACAGTCTCTTCACTTCGTGCTGGAGAGAGATATATGGAGTCACCAGAGGAACACATCTGCGCCTTTTGCTCGATCACCCACGGCATGCTTGAGAGTATCTCGGGGTGATCTGCTCCAAGGTAGAACTCCGTCGTCATATTAANTCCTGCCTGCTGTCAGCGAGGCGTAGAAGCCTCAGAGATTGCGTTGCGCCAGTGAGTAGACGGGTGGGTTGCACCTCCTTGCTGCTGCCTCTGATATCAGGTCCACTTCGATCCCGTATCCAGTAGTGCTAGTAACTCCTGCCCTTTACTGCGTACCCGCACAGGCACTGAATTGAGTAGAGGTGATGCTGTGGGTGGGGCCGTTATCTCACGTGGCCCCATCACTGCACCGCATGTTGCGTGGGGGCCAGGCGTTTCCCTGCTTGCTCTGTTTGTTCCCTGGCCGGCGCGGTTCGAGATTTTGTTTCAAGTTTTCCGTAGCCTTCTGTATACGCCGGCTATCGCGAAATAAGTTACCATGTTTATTGCACAATAGGTAAGCGCGCCGCTCGGCATCTCGTTCTTGCTTTCTAATCTCCATTTACCTTGTTTTATTTTATTTTTGTTTTGCTTTTCTAGGGGATTTTGTTTAAGAAAAGGAAGTGGGTTCGATTTTACCTTGTTTTATTTTATTTTTGTTTTGCTTTTCTCAGCAATGCTCGGGGTCACCCCTTTGGGGAAAGGGATCCGTGCTCGCACTTACCCGGATGAACCATGCGGCGCTACCATGTATAAGGGCTGTTCTTTGGCCTTAACCAAGAACAGCAGCGAGCTGCAATCTAGGTAAAGATTTAGAGTAGGAGGTTCCCAAGAGCAGCTGGCCCCCTTCCCCTGTCCCCAGGTGTCCTGGGCGTTGAGCTCAGGGCCTGGGTGTTGCGGGGGGGGAGACAGCCTGAACTGGGGTTGCAGCAAACCTCTCTGTGGCTGGTGAAGCAAGCCAGCCTCACGCGTGCACAGAGGGAATCTCCAGCAGAGCTCCCTTTACTGCATGTTTCACTTTTGAATACACTTATAGAACTCTTTCGTTTGCTTACACGCAACCTACCAGGGCCAAGTGACGGCTCCAGTGCTGCCTACAAGCAAACTAAGCTACAACGAGGCGCTTGGGTAGACCTAACTGACTTCTGCAGCAAAACGAATGGGGATAAGCCTGAGTTGATAGATGCTGAGCGCTCATAGAAACACCGCGATACACAGTACACAGCGGGGCTGGGCAGCGGGGCCCGCAGGCCCCCACGGAGACTGCTTAGAAGGGGTCTCTAAGCCCACCCCGCCTGCAGCAATGGAGAGAGGTGTACGTACACCTCACGTGCTAGCAAGAGCCAAGGGGAAGGGCTCTCTAGGGATTGCCGCTTGTTGATAGAAATATAATATAAATATAATATTTAGCTAGTTAACCACGGATTATATTCGTTACTTCAATAGAGTTACAAGAACAGAAACAATCTATTGCAGAAGCTTTACAGCAACACCAGCAGCAGCAGCAGCAGCAGCAGCAGCAGCATCAGCAGCAGCAGCAGCAGCAGCAGCAGCAGCAGCAGCATCAGCAGCAGCAGCAGCAGCAGCAGCAGCAGCAGCAGCGGCAGCAGCAGAGGGGACAGCTACTTGACTGCCTGCTCTGTGAGGCCACCGAAATATATGCGGTGGTTTTTCTCCCCGCATAAACTGAAATTTTGATTTGTTTATTTGTTAAAAAAAATAAATATACAAATATGTAGCAGGAGCAGCAGTAACAGCAGCAGCAGCAGCAGCAACAGCAGCAGCAGCAGCAGCAACAGCAACAGCAGCAGCAGCAGCAACAGCCCAGCGGTCCGCCACCGGGCGAGGCCAGCTGGCGGTTGGCTGTGTGCATCTTCAGCTGCTGCGTTTCTTTGCATTTGTTTACAATATAAATAAAGAGTAGGAGAGGAATTAGTTGTTTTTATTTGTCTGGTTTGGTCTCCCTTTGTTTCCTTTTTGTCTCTTGCTGCAGCTCGTGCGGCAGCAGCACGTGAGGCCCTGCTGCTGCTGCTGCTGCTGCTGC